CATAAGAATCATGTGATACATGTCAGAATGACAATTATTACTTAAATGATTTTTATTATGATAAACTAAAAGCTTTAAAAAATATTTTTGCAGGCCTAGGTATATTTATTTATTAATTCATTAATTAATTTATTTATTTTACAAGACTCAAACATGCATGTATAATACAGAGTGATGATAGTGTCTTGAGGGGCTATAGGACTACTGCTGGGTACCCTAAGATTAGTACATATGCTATTATAACAATAAGTAAATAAATAAATAAAATAATTTGAGGGTTGAAGGTGCAGGATTGAGAAAATGACACTTAGAAAATAGAGAAAAATGAGGCAAAGGGTGCATGGATTGTGTGAATCAAAATAAGACAGAAAATGAGACCAAAATTGACAGAAAAACTCTATATAGTATTCTGTATATAACTGCATCAGTGTTTCCTCCCCACACAAATTAATTACAATAGTAGCTGCCATGTAGTCCTCAATAAACAGTCATTCTAAAAATAATTGAATATGTACATACAGTAGATTGATATACATTACATTCCTGCCTGAAGTTTTCACCAATATGGGTGCAATTATTTGCATGACTTTTTGTTCATGAATAGGTTACTGACAGACTGTGACTGCTACTACGGTGAATTCTGTAACCATACAGATATACATTACATACATTACCCTTTCCATGCAGCATTCTTTGCATATTAAAGGATGGTTTTTGCTTTTAAACATGTCTATGTATGTGAGTGCTAGAAAAGGCATCTCATTGTATTCTATTGATCATTGTTGGGACAAGTCTTGACTGTGTCATCTGATACTAATGAATTATGTTTCTGCACTGTTTGGGTCTCAATAGTAAATCTCATTATAGTGATAGGAAAATTAGTATGTACTGACAGCTCAGCATCATGTATTGTAGCTTTATGAATATTATTATAAAAATCACATGAGTGGTGTGACATACAGATAAACAAATGAATATGCTGTAATTCTAATAAACCCATGCAGAGTTCCTGTCACAATGGTCTATAAATATAGTTATACAGATAGGAACATTTGTACACAGCTCTGTATATTATTCATGAGTGGTACTGTGTAACAATATTGAGTTATGGATGATGTAATCCTGAGAATACCTATATGCAGAGATAATCATACACAACTCACCTAAGTGACCTCACCACTAGCGTATCCAAGGGGGGGCTGAGGGGGCTTGAGCACCCCCCTCATGGCTGGGCTCAGAAAAAATTACTCAAATCCTGGACTCTTGCATCACTACCAAGCCTCTTAATAAAGTTATTTAGCCCCCTGATCATGATTTCAGCAGTTTCCAGTGCTTTAAGGAGCAATCAGAAGTCGTCAGAAGTACCAGTATGCTTGAAATTATCTTGACCACACCCGTGATTTACGAAAATGAAGGAAAACGCCGTTTTACTGCCGTAAAAAGGGGGTGTGGCCCAAATTGCGGCGCGCTTCACGCGCCCTCAGCACCCCCCTTTTCCAATTTCTAGATACGCCACTGCTCACCCTAACTCAATGACCATGATCTGACCATGCATGCCTATTAAGGATAATTGCAACTGTTCTGCCCTCTATCTCTATGCATTCCCTCTCTTATCTATTTTTCTGTATTGTAATAATTATACAATAATATCCACAATAATAATACCAGGTATAAAATTCAAGCTGTCAATATGGAGGATGCACGCTGGGCCACACCATTAAATATTTGTGATTCATTGCTT